TTAGTGGGTTAAGCCTCTGCCTTTGGCTCAGGTCATGATCTCAGGGTTCTAGTATCGAGCCCCGCATGGGGCTCTCTGCTCAGCAGGGAGCCTGCTTCCCCCTCTCTCTCTGCCTGCCTCTCTGCCTACTTGTGATCTCTGCCTGTCAAATAAATAAATAAAATCTTTAAAAAAAAAAAAAAAAGAAGCTATTTGTCAGTAAATGTATTACCCAGACACATATCTCCTGATGAAAAAAAGATTCTTGAGACAAGTGAACATATTCTGTCATCTACATAAGCTCTGATTGGTATTTCCTCTCCCCCCCCCCTTTCCTAATGCTCTAGGTTAACTAAGTGAAATTAAAGCTTTTCTTATTCAAATTTCAAATGGAACATTTTAGCAGACAAAACTCCACTAAAAATCAAAAGGAAATGGGGTTTGTTGGCAGCAAGCACCAAAATCTAGGCACTAGAGTTCTGTCCAATGAGCAGATCCTAACAAACCCAAATGGAAATAAAAGTTACAGTTTTCATAACTCCCCAAGAAAAATTTTGCACGCTTTTTTAGAAAGGGTATAGGAAATCAATCCTCAGATCCACCGCTGGTGAAGGGGCAAATTGATAAAACACCTGGGGAGTAAATTTGGTAATATTCATTGCAATCTCATTTCTGGGAATTTATCCTACAAATACATGGCACACAGAAGAAGTGATTATGCATGAAGTTATTTATTGCAGCATGATTTTTAATGACAAATGATAGGAAACTGCCTTTCAAATGGGGACTGGTTAAATTACAAAACAGAACTAAATGGAATATTACATGGCAGTTAAAAGGAGTGTTTAAAGCAATGTCCATAACAGCCAAAAAATGGAAAGAGCCCAGATGTCCATCAACAGATGAATGGATAAAGAAGATGTATGATGACTAACGTAACATAAAAAATAAATAAATAAATAAAAATAAATCACTCACAAAATTTAAAAAAAGAAGATAGGGTGTATATATATATACAATGGGATATTACTCAGCCATCAAAAAATGAATTCTTACCATTTGCAATGACATGGATGGAACTAGAAAATATTATACTAAGCAAAACAATTCAATCAGAGAAAGACAATTATCATACAGTTTCACTCCTATGTGGAATTTAAGAAACAAAACAGGATCACAGGGGAAGGAAGGGAAAAATAAAACAAGACAAAATCAGAGAGGGAGACAAACCATGAGAGGCTCTTAATCATAGGAAACAAACTGAGGGGGGCGCCTGGGTGGCTCAGAGGGTTAAAGTCTCTGCCTTCAGCTCAGGTCATGATCCCAGGGTCCTGGGATCGAGCCCCGCATTGGGCTCTCTCCTTGGTGGGGAGCCTGCTTCCTCCTCTCTCTCTCTGCCTGCCTCTCTGCCTACTTGTGATCTCTCTCTGTCGAATAAATAAATAAAATCTTTAAAAAAAAGAAAAAAAGAGAGGAAACAAACGGAGGGTTGCCGGAGGGGAGGGGGGTGGGGGATGGGGTATCTGGGTGATAGAAATTAAGGAAGGCATGTGATGTAATGAGCACTGGGTGTTATACGCAACTGATGAATACTGAACTCTACCTCTGAAACTAATATTACACTATATGTTAATTAATTGTATTTAAGTAAAATAATTTTAAAAAAATAAAAAAGGAGTGTTTAGGGCACCTGGTGGCTCAGTTGGTTGAATGACTGCCTTCAGCTCAGGTCATGATCCCGGAGTTCCAGGACTGAGTCCCACATTAAGCACCCTGCTCATCAGGGAGTTTTCTTCTCCCTTTGACCTGAACCTCCCCCTTCCCATGCCCCCTCTCTCACTCTCTCAAATAAATAAATAAAATCTTTTTTTTTTTTTAAGAGTGCTTAAAGGTATGGACTCTGAATTGTTTGGGGTTAAGTCTGTATTAAGTCCTATGTAACATGAAGCACAGCCACCTTAGGTCACAAAATCCTCAGTTTTCAAGGATTTTGTCAACTGTTTAGCACAGCCATTATTAAAAATTAAATTATATAAACTTACAATTAAATAAATGTTACAAACAAAGATAGTAAATAATCAATTCATCACCTCCTAGCTTTTTTACCATACTGTTATCTATGTCTTGACTAGGCTATTTAGGTCTAACTACCTGTATGAGAGAAATATCATATAATGGTATGTGACCGGGCATCTCCTAGTGTAGCGTTCATCATCTTCACGTTGTTAGCTTGAAATCAGCCATGGTGGGGATATTTACACCTCTGAAATTGTCAAATGCTACAGATGGGAACTTTTTTCTTAGCCATGTGTTACATATTATCAGCATACCACCGATATGTGTGTTCTTTTTTTTTTTTTTAAATAAAGATTATATTTATTTATTTGACAGACAGAGATCACAAGTAGGCAGAGAGGCAGGCGGGGGTGGGGTGGGGGGTAGGGGGAGCCAGCTCCCTGCTGAGCAGAGAGCCCGATGCGGGGCTCAATCCCTGGACCCTGAAATCATGACCTGAGCCAAAGGCAGAGGCTTTAACCCACTGAGCCACCCAGGCATCCCTGGTATGTGTGTTCTGTACTTTAATTTTGCCATCTGTAAAATCAAGATAATAATAGAACCTTCCTGATAGGGTTGTTGTGAGGATTAATGAGTTAATATATGTAAAGCATTAGAAGAGTGTCAATATAAGGGTTAACTATACATTGTATTATTATTGTTGTTGTTGTTGTTGTTATTGTTACTGGCACAGAAAGATGTCCGAGCTATGTTGCTATATTTTTTTATGCTGGGAAAAGTGTGTATGAGTTACCTTTTGGATATTAAACAGGGAAAATTTTAAATACATAGTCATAGGTTCTTATAGAAAGAAGCCTTGGCGGAAGGCACAAGAAATGAATCCAAGTGGTTACCTGGTTTGTCCTTGATTGGAGAAATGAGTTTGAGGACTTTATTAAGAGCACGACTTTTCACTGTACATTGTATTTTCATTGACTTTTATGTTCTTCAACTATGCAAATGTATCGTCTATTTAAAATGTTACCTTTTTTAAAAAAAAAAAAAAAAAGAACAAGTTTGGGGCGCCTGGGTGGCTCAGTGGGTTAAAGCCTCTGCCTTCGGCTCAGGTCATGATCCCAGGGTCCTGGGATGGAGCCCCACATCGGGCTCTCTGCTCTGTGGGGAGCCTGCTTCCTCCTCTCTCTCTCTCTGCCTGCCTCTCTGCCTACTTGTGATCTCTGTCAAATAAATAAATAAAATCTTTTAAAAAAAAAAAAAAAAGAACAATTTTCATTGACCCAATAAGTATTTCCTCCTCATCTGCTTAACCAAAAAACCATGGGAAATACTCTGTGAGTCTCAAAAGGGGACATGGACAAAGGAGAGACCATGGTCCCTGCCCTCCACACGCGCATGCTCCACCTGGGGGTGATGACACGTGCACAGGAGACCCCCCCCACCGGCAGGGGGGAACACTCATCTGACCCTGGGGTACAAACACTACAGGGCTTTACACTACTTTCACAATTAGAATGACATGAAATGGCTCTTGAAGCTACTTACCCTGTTGTATACGGGATGTTTATGCCTCCTAGATTAATACTTTCACACCCAACAATAAATAGGGTTGAAAAACACAGTAAAGACACACCACTGCAGATCATGGCAAGTTTAGCAGATTCTCTTGCACCAAGTTTCAATTTCTTTATAATGTAGCCTCCCAGGACAATGCCAACACCAGCACTGGGGACAATAATTACACCTAGAGAGAAGAAGGGAAGGACAGGATTAAGTGAAGTCCCATATGCTATAATTTGATTTCTAATTACTCTATTTCTACTTACTTATTAGTATTAAAGTACAAAATAAAAAATACTGTAATCAACAAATCTTCAGTGTGTATGATTTTATAGTATAATTTCTTTTCAAAGGACTCATAGCCAAAAGGTAAAATAACTTTTACAAAGCAATAAAATAAAGACAAGCCACCCACTAAGAAAGTGAACAGAACTTGAATGGGCCCCTTAATGGAGAGGAAATCCAGCTGGCCAATAAACACCAGAAGATGTTCACTCTCTTTGCTAACAGGGAAATACAGATTAAAACATAGTAAAATACTACTCTATACCATCTGTGTTCATAAAAATTTAGAAGTCCGATATTACCACATGCTGGCGAAGATACCAAGCAATGGACGTTCTCCACGGCTGGTGGGATGTAAATCGTGAGACCTACTTTGAGAAACAGTTTGCCCTTTATCTGGTAGAGTTGAAGATATACATATCCTGTGACAGGTAATTCTACTTCTGGATCTATACCTTGAAGAAGCCCAAGCACATGGGGACCAAAAGAAGTGTACAAGATATTTGAAGCCTCATAATAGCCAAAAACTGGAAATAAACCAAAAATTCATCACTAGATATATTGTCTGTTGTAATTTCATGTAGCAAAATTCCACTACACAGCAATAAACAGAAGGGAATATAATAACATACAACCATGAGCATGGATCATACAAATACAATGTTCAATGAAAGAGAACAGAAGACATGACGTGATGGCATTCGTAAAAAGTTCAAGTGCAGGTACCACTAAATGATCTGTTTAGGAATGCATATCCAAGCAGTGCAACTATGAAGGAAGTAAGTGTCATAAACCCAAGATAGTAGGGAAATAGGTGGGGTCAGGAAAGGATATAGGGAGCTCCTTGACTACTGAAAACACTCCATGCCATGACCTGGATAACAGTTACACAAATGTTCACTTCATGATTACTCAATAGCTCTGAATTTTGATTAATGTATTTTTGTGTGCATTGTATTTCACAGTTTTAAAAAACTAAAAAAGCCTGCCCCAAGAACCTTATAATCTAAAACAGAAACATACAAATTAGAGTACAATAAAACAATTATACAAAAGACAGGCAGAATACGGGGATAAAAAGCATTCTGAGCCTTACCTGGGAGAAATCAAGGAGGGCTTCACAGAAGTAGCAGTATTTGTACTGAACGAAGTATGAAGAGAAAAATAAGGTGAAGACTGAAATGATTCAACTACGTCACTAGAGATCTTGGCAAGAGCAATGTTAAGGATAGATATTGTGAAGAAAGAACCCGGACTCCAATAGGTTGAGATGAGGATTTAGAGATTAGAATTCAGACTCTTTCTAGAACTTAGGCTATAAGAGGAAAAATGGGTATGGGTCTAGAGTAAGAGTGGTCAAGGTAGAGTTGGAGCTTGGGGAGTTCATTTGTTAAGACAGGAGGGGACTAAATGTATTTATATGTGGACAAAAATAGACTAAAAAGGAATGGGAGCTTGAATGTGGAGAGAAAAGGTTATCTAATACCAATGCAAGATCCTTGAGGAGTCAAGAGAATATGGAATTAACAGCACAGATAATCAGATTAGCACTGGATGGGGAGAGGGAGAGAGAGAGAGACCCCTTCATTCAGGCTGGGAACAGGAGAGGGGAGAATATGGTGGGGCATAAGTCAGCAGGTGGGTGGTAGCTCCTCAAATTAGAGTTTTTCTGTTTCATTTTTTTCCCCATTATTTTGCAAACATCATGTAATACATGTTGTAAGAGAACACTGGAAAAGCACAGAGAAGTATGAAGGAACAAAAATCCACTGCTTTCATTCTGGCCTATTTCACTCCAGTCTTTTTTCCATGCTTCTTTCCTTCGAGATTTGATAACATGCAAGGCACCTGGGTGGCTCAGTAGGTTAAGCCTCTGCCTTCGGCTGGCATCATGGTCTCAGGGTCCTGGGAGCAAGCCCCACCTCAGGGTCTCTGCTCATTGGGGAGCCTGCTTCCTCCTCTCTCTCTGCCTGCCTCTCTGCCTACTTGTGATCTCTGTCTGTCGAATAAAAAAATAAAATCTTTAAAAAAAAAAAAAAAGAATTGATAACATGCTATAAATTCTTTTTTTATATAGCTTTGGTTTTTATTTCTGGGTGGTTTTTTTTTCTGTATAATTGAAAACAAAACTAACTCTTAGAGGAAAGGGATATGGAGAACTTTAAATATAGCCAAGGGTTAGAATAATCATCATAGGAAAGCAAAGTGAGTGCTAAATAAGAATATGTAATAGGCTTTGCAAATGGAGAGTCCACTGGGTCCAGATGATACTAGATTTCAGAAGTCCGCAGCTGCCTGGGGAGCATGGTTGAATGGTTCGCTTCAGCATGTTCAGCAACCCACGTAAAGGAGCAGAGAAGGATTAGATTAATCTAAAATCTGAGCTTTACCTGGCAATGAGTGTTCATTTTATAATCCTCACCAGAGTCCTGATTTTATAAAATCAGTAATGACCTTTTTACAGATGAGGAAATTGATAGCTCAGAAAAGTGACTGGTCCAGCAGTGCACACAAGGGAGAGTGAGTCTAAGGGAAACCGAGATCTCGGATTCCCAGCCCAGCGCTCTGTCCACATCACCACAGATGTCTCCTGGAACCGACAGGTCCCTGGAATCTTTTAGGTAAATTGACCAGAGCTCTGGGCTCAAATGAGCTGCTTAATAAAGTATCATCATCATTAAGGAAAAGTACACATGTTATCTATATGAATAAATAGGCAAAGTTTTCCTCTAAGATGAAAGTGATACATCTATGAAATTCTTATTTCAACTGAAAAACTTATACAGTTCTAGACCCCTCCAGTAACAAACAAAACAAATCTCCATGCTCATAGCTCAAGTCTTAATTTAAAAGCAATATAATTTACTTGACTATGCATCCTAATTGGTATTCAACTCTTAAAAACAGGAAAATTCGGGGTGCCTGGGTGGCTCAGTGGGTTAAAGCCTCTTCCTTCGGCTCAGGTCATGATCCCAAGGTCCTAGGATCGAGCCCCACATCGGGCTCTCTGCTCACTGGGGAGTCTGCTTCCTCCTCTCTTGTCTCTCTTTCTGCCTACTTGTGATCTCTCTCTGTCAAATAAATAAATAAAATCTTAAAAAAAAAAAAAAAACAGGGAATTTGTCATCAGTAAATATGAGGTTATATCAAACAGAGTGAAGATCCCCTTAAAATCTTCTCCTAATGTCCCCTGCCATCTAAATCTCACTGCACCACCCAAGCAGAATTTCTGACCATTCAGATCTCCAGCTTAAGTAAGAGACCCAAATGTTCCATTGTTAGAATATTAGGCATGTGGGATGGTGCTGGGGAAGGGCACAGGGGACAGAGTAGAGCCTTCTCACTCTCCCTTCTGAAAGCCCCCAGCTCTGGGGAAACCAGACTGTACAGAGCATGGAGGGGCTAGAAGTTGGTTTCCCCACCCACCATCATGCTGTTCTCTAGCCCTCCCCAGTTCCCCACCCCCTTGGGGGGAGAGGGAAATACAGGCATCCCCTGCTTTTCCAAGTTCACATCACACCACTTCGCATTTATGGAAGACCTAAGTACCTGCGTTTGCTAACTAAAAGAAACCCAAAGAGGATTTTCGTTTTTATGGGGGGGGGGGGGCCACAAAGGTGAGCACTGAAAATAGCACTCAATATTTGCTTCGCAGAAAGGGTTACAGAGCCAGTGAGAGTGGCCCCGCCAAGCTCCTTCCCTGGCAACTATCCTCAGTGTCTTAGCATCAGGCCCCACAGCTCTGAACTTGATTTAGTCTGCACATCGTTAGGAAGATGTTCCAGAGGTATCCGGAACACCTAAAAAAGGTTGTTTCTTGAGTCTGGGAATGCTCAAAAATTTTTTCCATATAAATTAACTGTAATTGCGTCTCCACTTTATGCCATTTCAGCTTAGGAAAGGTTTCACTGGAACACTCGACTCAGATAGCAAGGGAAACCTGTAAATATCTAAGATGGGCTCTCCCAGCAGAAGCTGCCCGCCTGCCACTCACCACGTCTGAGTTCAAACTCGCCTCAGTGGCTTGTGCACACCCCTTCCCTCAGTCCCCAGAGAACACCCCCTCCTAATGCCTCCACTCCTCTGAGCTTCTGCTCCCTCTCCAGCCCCTTTCCCAGCCCTGGCAGGATGGTTCCGCAGTCCCTGAGATTCTATTCCTCGCGCCCTCTAGTGGCCAAGACATGAATGGGACCCGCGGGGTACAAAGGATGGGTGGGAAAGAAGCATCAGGGACTTGAGTACGAGGGGAGAGGGAGAAGGGCTGAATGCGGAAAGACAGAAATACCTGGACCAAGCCCAGGGGCCCAGCCTAAGGTACAGCTGGTAGAGGATAGAAGCCAAAGCAGTTGCAGATGTCTAAGAGACAAATGCAGGTGAGATTGCAGGCCACGTGGACAAATTACCTGAGTTCAAATCTCAGCTCTGGCCACCTACAAACTGTGTGTCCTTGAACAAATTTCTGAATATTCCCAGGCCTCGGATTTTCTCCTCTTTAAAACGTGGGTAAGAATAGTATCTTCCTGGAGTGTCTGGGTGGCTCAGTCAGTTAAGCATCTGCCTTCAGTTCCGGTCATGATCCCAGGGTCCTGGGATCCAGCCGCACATCAGGCTCCATGCTCACCGGAGAGTCTGCTTCTCCCTCTCCCTCTGCCCTTCATTCATGCTTGCCCAGTCTCTCCAGTGCTTGCTGTCTTTCAAATAAATAAATAAAATCTTTAAAAATAGTATCTTCCTCACAGGTTGTTAGGTGTAAATGCGTTAAGACATATGAAGTGCTTAAAACAGAGGCACCTGCCTGGCACAGTCAGAGGAACTATGACTCTTGATTTTGGGGATCATGAGTTCAAGCCCCATTTTGGGTATAGAAATTACTTTAAATGATAATAAATAAATAAATAA